CAGTAATGTAACTATCGCGACCCTGCAGATTTTTATGTGAATCTGCTATAGGGGTACATGGGAACATGCATGAGATAAGGTAGCAGTCACAAAGGAGAAAAATCGTGAAAAAAAGCTTCCAATACCTTTCCAAGTAAAGTAGCCCATGCGGTGGCCACGGCACCCCCATCACGACCACCAGCGAGAGTGGGAGTTGCATAGACACCACCTGGCCAATCGCTATTACAGTAGCACTGATGGCGAAGCATCGACTGGTCACGGTACATAAGGACCGAACAAGACCTTGGCGCCTGGCCATACTGTAAAAATCGACCCACATCAAAATGAAGTGACGAGAAGGGGTGGCGGCAGGACTTACACGATGCAGATCAATCGATATGGAAGTGACTCCAGGTAAACGGAAATCAAATGTAGGAATGGAATAATCGCAGTATTCCATGAAAGGTAGAAGAAAACCACCAAGAGTGCAATCGACATGGAGAGGAACGCCAAATCGTTGTGCCACCTGAAATTAATCACCCATAAACTGAAAAACGCGAGAAAAGTGAAAAATGCAAAGGGAGAAGTGAGAAATAAAGCCTCGCCTCAGACAGCCTCTCAATCGGATCAACGGTACCGGTGATATGATTTGGTGCCGAAGCCACAATCTGAAATGAAAATGAGAACAGTCACTATAGCAGGGGGGACCTTCAGGCGATGGAACACTTTTTCATCACGATTTACTTCACTGTTGTAAGGAAACATTATGCACCATAGAAAAAAGTCTACTTTTCTCACGCGCTTCACCAAAAACCAAAAAAAAACAACAGTTCCACGTCTGGAGCGGCGACAAAATTCCGCAATTGGTGACGTCAAAGATAAACTGTAGAATCACTTCCGCGGACTTTGGTCCTTCCCACGTGTGAGATGAGTGGGTCCGGAGATGCAGTAGCGTGGTACTTTCTCCGGTCAAAGGTGCTCAAGAGCGAAGTAGGAGAGTACTGCCGTCTCCGTACTGCTCCCGCGCGCTGTACGGCCAGCAACACTCGTATATCAAGAACGCGCTACTTGTCTGCGTCCTCTCACTTGTGGTTTTCTAGTGCTGCTTCACTGGGGGAATTTGGTATAGACACAAGTGTAGCACATTGAGGAACGCAGCGAAGAGCATGGAAGTGGCGCCTGGCTATCCCTTCCCTCTAGCCCCGTTTCCGTGCACCTTTGAGCGGAAAAAGTGGAACGCTACTCACGCACGGAAAAGCCACTCACGGGGGTGAGTACCGCTTGCCTTTATTTTTTTTCGTGTTCATATATGTTCCAGCCTTTTGTCGAGCGAAAACTGTCCAGAAAAAGCTTTCTTCAACCAACTCGTCATAGTGGAATTATGGTGAAGTAAGAGTGTAGCAAACTGCTGGATTAGGCTCGTGAAATTGCGGCATGTGCACCGTACAACTGCTCTACTCTGTACATCAAAATTGTATGATTCTATGCTTCAACAGTTGTACGCTGCGGTTGCACACGCTGCAATTTCACGACGCCTAATCCAGCTGTCTGCTACCCTCCTACTTCCCCATACTCTCCCTTCCTGGACGCTGCTGTACGCTGGCGAACGCTGGTGGACGCTAGCGTTCGCAGATCGGTACCTACACTTCTCTAGCTTATTAAGACGGTGGCGGTTGCTGGTGGACGCTGACGCAAAGTATGAACGCAGCCGAATAGATGAGCAAAACAATAATGAACGCTCACTTTAGTAGTCATGAAATCGACCAGAACATAGATGTCGCCAAGAGTAGTTTCAAACGCTACAATGCATAGATCAGCTGCCCCTCTCAATGTGATTCCGTCGATATCCGAAAGCAGATCTGCTAGACGTCGAGTGGTTTCCACTACTCGATGGCATGCAGTAATGTAACTATCGCGACCCTGCAGATTTTTATGTGAATCTGCTATAGGGGTACATGGGAACATGCATGAGATAAGATAGCAGTCACAAAGGAGAAAAATCGTGAAAGATAAAAAAGCTTCCAATACCTTTCCAAGTAAAGTAGCCCATGCGGTGGCCACGGCACCCCCATCACGACCACCAGCGAGAGTGGGAGTTGCATAGACACCACCTGGCCAATCGCTATTACAGTAGCACTGATGGCGAAGCATCGACTGGTCACGGTACATAAGGACCGAACAAGACCTTGGCGCCTGGCCATACTGTAAAAATCGACCCACATCAAAATGAAGTGACGAGAAGGGGTGGCGGCAGGACTTACACGATGCAGATCAATCGATATGGAAGTGACTCCAGGTAAACGGAAATCAAATGTAGGAATGGAATAATCGCAGTATTCCATGAAAGGTAGAAGAAAACCACCAAGAGTGCAATCGACATGGAGAGGAACGCCAAATCGTTGTGCCACCTGAAATTAATCACCCATAAACTGAAAAACGCGAGAAAAGTGAAAAATGCAAAGGGAGAAGTGAGAAATAAAGCCTCGCCTCAGACAGCCTCTCAATCGGATCAACGGTACCGGTGATATGATTTGGTGCCGAAGCCACAATCTGAAATGAAAATGAGAACAGTCACTATAGCAGGGGGGACCTTCAGGCGATGGAACACTTTTTCATCACGATTTACTTTACTGTTGTAAGGAAACATTATGGACTCATGCATTACCGTAC